TGTGTGTGTGTGTGTGTGTGTGTGTGTGTGTGTGTGTGTGTGTGTGTGTGTGTGTGTGTGTGTGTGTGTGTGTATGTATATAAATTCTGGGCTCCAATACAAACCCACAGCCTGCCAGCGTGCTTTAGTTTTACAATGTGTTCCACATGCATGACTGGGACGAACCAGCACACAAGGTGGTAATGGTAAAGTGAGAGTGTGTCTGCGTGTGTGCGCGGATGACTGGAAGTGGAAGTAAGTAAGACATGAACAGAGTGCAGATGCACATAGTGGAATAAAAGTCTGCCTTTTGTGTATTACAGTTTATTGTGGCAACAACTGCTCTCTCTATAGGCTCTATAACCCCTAACTAAGAGGTAAAAATCCTATTAATACATTTTTATAGTTCTAGATTTCAAGAAAATGTATATTAAATACTTTATTCAGACTTTTCACCACTGTTACCACAAACCCAGATTTCAGTACATTCGGACCAAGACTATAGTTTCATGTTGAATCGGTCTGTGTGTGGACAATACTTCTTACGAATGTGTGTGTGTGCATATTTCGGAGCACTGACTCATGCAGCCCGCAGGTTGGTCACACTTGTGCTCTTGTGTGAGACATCAAAGCCAGAAATGACAGAGATGGAAGAAGAATAAAACAAATGCGGGCCGCTGCTGCTCGGTGTGTGTTTATGCGCGCACGTGTGTGTGTGTGTGTGTGTACGAAAAGAGAGCGTGTGCATCTGTGTGGCAGTCTGGCAGAAGGCCATCTCAATGCTATGGGCAGATAGTATCTCCACACATGACTGCAACCCACAGTCGGACTGACGGGTATAAACATATAGCTTTCAGCAAACGAGAAAGACCCTGCTAAACGGTGCAAAATGGAGAATGCGTGAAAGATAAACACTCTAAATCAGCTCTCTCCATTTCGGTCAACTCTTCTTTTTGTTTCCTTATTTACGGCTAAACACTCATTTTGTTCTCCCGTTCATTGCATGGACGTCAACGACAGTTTACGGCGGTCAAAATAAACGAGCCAAGTCCTACCTTCAAACAAAGGCCTTAAGTGTATCTGCTACACAAGGGAAAAGTTAAGAACTTTCACAGATTATGTTGCCGCCACCACTTCGTTTCCCACCCCAACCCGCATTTTTTTTTCTCTCCATCATGTGCTTAAACCCCTTCATCCATCCTTTTCTTTTGTCTTTCAACAGCAGGAAATGATTCTGTCTCCCCTTCTTGTTTTTTCCTCTTTTCCCTCTGTTTCACTCCTCTCGGGAGGCGATGGCAAGAGTTGTGGTGTTTCATAAACTCTTCTCTGGTTTTCACATCATGGCTCGGTCATTGAAAAAATATGCTCTATATTACCGAGATGCACGGCGCGTTTTGTTAAATTAGCAGATTTAGGCCTGTAGCTGGTTGTTTTTGATTTATCTACTCCTTTCCCCCCTCTTAACTGAATAAGTTGCAGTATATAAACAGAAGCCCATTTCAGAGGATTTTTTTATGCAAGAAAGTGCCTTCTTGTCAATTCCTTCTGAAGGCAAAAAAAAGAAGAAGAAGAAAAAGAAAAATAGTTAAGAGCTGCAATGCAGCTGTTAAGAAGTATAAACTGCTTCATCAATAAGCTACCAAAGGAGGACAAAAGGGGAAAACAGGTAGTAAGAGAAGAATGGCAAAGCTACAGGATCCTGGCATGCAGTAAGTCAAATCTCCAAATTGTCAGGTTGCAGCTACTCTGTTTCTGCAATTTAAGCTATTTCAGACTAGGATAAGTAGTTAAAGTGGATAATTAAAAAAACAAAAACAAAACTGTCTACATTTGCCAGCACTTCAGGCTATCAACAGCTAACTAGACACAGCATGCTACTGCAGTCTTTTGACACTGTAAAATTTTTTGACTCTCGATGAAGCTCCCAGCGCACAGTTTTTGTGCTGATGTTAATGCCTAAAGCTTTCAGCTGATCGTAGAATTCCCAAGAGGGGAGGAATTCCACAAACTGGAGGGGGCATCGTAGTACAGAGACAGACAGACTGCACTAAGGGTGTTTGATTTTCCTGAGTTCAAAGATTCAGAGGTGTAGCATTTTAGTGCATATATTTGATTTCCTAATTTGACTAATTGATGTACTGACTGTGTGTAAAGCACATTCCCTTTTTATTGTCTGTTTAATCAAATCAGTATATCTTTTCCTCTTTGTGAGTGTGTGTGTGTTGTGTGTGTAGGTGTGCAGTTTTAGGACACAGAGGTCTTGGGGAAGTGTTGATGACCTCATCACTGCTTGCAACTGCAGTGAAACCTCACCTCTCTGCACCATGACTAATGAACTAGGACGGACACACACACACACACACACACACACACACACACACACACACACACACACACACACAGTTCTGAAAAAGCACATTCTGTATCTCACATTATGCAAACAGACACATGAGCATACCTGACGTCTGAAGGGTCTGGAACATGAGATTCAGTGTGTGATTTCTTTACCTGCCGAGACAACAGAGGAAAGGAAATGTTATTGAACACACACACACACACACACATACAGTTCATGAGAAAACGCATTTAGTGTGTCATAAACAAACCTCATAAATCAGTTTGCAAACAGGACAGATTATATTAGTATTAACACCGAAGTGGCTAACACATTTAACTAACAAATTAAGGTTTCCCAGTTCGATCCTGGGGGGAGACACAAATCCTTTCGGGCTTGCGTTTGGGAAGGGCATCCCACTTAAAAATTTGTCAATTCCAACATGTGCCACTACCGACCATGTTAATACGTGAGCAGCTGAACACAGATCTTTTTTTCATATACTAGAATCATCACATTTTGAACAACACCAAATACAGAGAAAATTCTGCCAAGGAGGCATTAAAAACCCAAATCGCATCATCAGTTACCTCAACGGGAAATTACATCACATTAAATGTGACTTACAAATGTTCTCATTTTCAAATGTTAAATGTTTAAAAAGAAATAAATCAGGATGTGGTGTCAGTAGCTGTAGCCGCCACTGTGACAGAAGTACTAACTGGCATCTAAGTGACAGATATTAATTTTCCCTTGTTCACCCGTGACCCCACTCCAGCTCACGCTCAAGCCTCATTTTCAACCCTTAAAGAGTTGAAAGGTCACGGCGGGGTCATGTTAGGTCAAAGCACGGGGTTTAGTCTTCGCCGTTAAACAGGTCACCACAGACACTAAAACAAGCCTTAACTTTTTTTGTGTGGGTGGGGGGACATTTGGCCATGTCAGTTAGTGCGCTGGAACTTTTTACTTCTTCACTGATGTAGGGAAGAAAAAAGAATCAAGAAAACACTCTTCAGCCGCAAACTTTCTCCCTGTGCTCACACGCAGGCTGTTGCTGTGTGTGAGGGTATGTGCAGCTAGACTGCAGACCAGTGGTTCTCTATTAAAATTCCTCTGTCTTATTTGCAACAGGAACTAATTAGAACAGTAAATGCAGGGCGGAGCCAGGGCCAATGTGTACCAGCTGCCCTATAATCACTGTGTCAACACACTGCTGAGGTGTAGGGCACGTGTGGGGTGCCAAAGACACACACCCGTACATGGAAATTCGCATACAGACGCACACCCACACCAAATTCAAGCAGTCATTTGCACATTATCGCAATCACAGGTAAGTATACAGAGAAAGT